GGAAAATCTGGCAAAAACGCTGGCATACGTTGAATAAGTTATTGGTATGTTTTGTTATGAGCACGCTGAAGAATGCTGAAATAATACAGCAAAGTCTGTACAGCATAATCACCACATACAGCAAGTCGTCGAGAAATTTTGAGCATGCTCAGCAACGACCAACAAACTAGCAGACATGACGCAGTGAGCAGGTATGACGTAGATATTTTTAATTAATACCTAACATTGAAGCGTGGTCTTCACTGTTATTCCAGGCCATAACGCAAGAGTTCCAATCAGGAACTAGCTGTGGGTCTAGATACGGCAAGGAAGTGGGGGCAAGTTTGTACGACAACGGAGGGACATGAGGGCGAAAAAGAGCTGGGATCCAGGTAGAAAAAAGGTTCCAACATTCTAGCTGGTCCATCTTCACGAGTCATTATCCGCAATCGGGGTCATACAAACAAATTACCAAGTTACCATTGCATGTTTCTAAGCAATACAAGGCCTTGTCCATATAAGACTCAAACTCACTGCGGATCCATACATTTGAATTGAGAAAGCTTCCTGGAGAGGTGGAGAAACGTCTTCAAATCTTAAAAACCAAGTCCAGTGGAAATTTTTTTGAATTTTTACGGAATACAAACAAAACGAGCCGGTAAGGAACCACACAGGAAATACGCATAGTGCACAGCGGATGTAGATTTGACCAATCCAATGCCTACAATTTGGGAGATGTGCAGCAGAGTGTCTGCAGAAGGGGGCGGGGACGTCTCTGCATTCACCGCGACACTCTCTGCTGCACCTCTCCCAAACTGTAGGTGGCCACAGACAGTGCCTGGGCTCTCTGAAGGTCTGTTAGTTTATCTTTTCTATTTAGCTTTTATTGTGCCATGTAGCAAAGTTCACTGTGGTTTTAAAATAGTTGGTGTATTCAAAAAGAAAAAAATTGCAATAAATGCAAACAAAGTTTTTTTTTTTTAGGGAAGATGTTAGATCTGTTATTTTGCAGTTAAAGAATGTAAACTTAGCCAGGAGTTTAACCAAAGAATTCCAAGGACTAAATCTTGAGGAATTTCTTGTAAATTTGATATATTGCAAGTTGAAACCCACATGCAGGTTAGAGAACATGAGCACAAATTTTCCTAAACTGTAACTTTTCTGACCTTTTAATAGATAATAGAGTATACAAAATAAAACCTTACTATGTTTTTTTTTTACTGATCAGCTTTCATCAAGACTTTTCACTGTGGTAGATGGAAACCATTTTTTTCCCCTCTGTTTTCCAGATTGTATTTTTATTTTTTTACGTGCAGAATCTGACCGCTGAAATAGCTTATTTAGTTTTCAGGGGCATCTAAAAGTAAAACCTCACCTGCGAAGTTTGAATCAGTCAGTAAGTCTATTTTTAGATCACTTTCTCTGATCTCCTCCCTTGCAGACATACACAGGCTCGATCCTGGTGGCAGTAAATCCTTACCAGCTGCTTCCCATCTACACTCCGGACCACATTCGCCTCTACACCAACAGGAAAATTGGAGAGATGCCGCCCCACATATTCGCCATTGCTGACAATTGTTACTTCAACATGCAGAGGAACAACAAGGATCAGTGCTGCATCATTAGGTGTGTTTCCTGCTGCAGTCCTGTGTAAAACTTTTAGACCAACCTTTCATAATCTTTACCAATCTTCAGCACTTTTAAAGGTCTTTAGAGACAATTATTTGGTCTTTAACTACACATTATTAGTGTAACTTCTCTATTTTGGATTGGGTACTTTTCCATTACTGTTTTTCAGTAGTTTTTTTGTTCATTTTTCAGCTGCTGTTCGGGGAAACTATCTCCTGTTTAGAATGAAGAAAAAATACCGACATAATGTTATTCTATATATATTTCAAAATTTATGGCAGAATTACAGCTTTTAAAGTCAAATCATATTTAAATGTCAAATCATTCTGGCTTAAACATGTATATAAATATACTCTTTATCAGACCATATTGT